GGGGATGTGGGGGGGGGGGGGCAGACTCCTGAGCCCAGCTTCTCCCCATGTTTCTGGCCTCTGCCTGCCCTGACCCACTGCAGGACACCCAGGTCGCCTGAGATAGGCCCTGGGCAGGATGTGTGGGTGGGGCCGGGGAACACTCCTCTACTGCCCTAACGCCAGACTCCTCCCCCACTGCTGCTCACAGTCCCACCACCGCTGCAGAAAGGCCCTCTGGGAAGTGCTGAGACTGGCTCTCTGCGGCCCTGCTGGGTGTCGTGGGATGATTCGGGCACATGGAACAGCTGGTAAGAGCAGTGGGGCTGGGACTCTGCCCTGTGGTACGATCTGGCTAGAAAGTTCCAGATGCCTCTACCCTGCCTGCCTACCTACATGCGTCTGGCAGCCAGGCTGATGCCCTAAGGCCTCTAGCTGAAGGCTCTTCGAGTCCCTGCACACGCCCTACTGATGGCAACTGGAACCCTGGGGCCAGGAAGTGGGCATGTGGTCAGCTCACCTAAGAAGGCTCGGCCCAGGGCTGCCTGGTGGCTCAGGAGGAAGCCAGGGCCGAAGCCACAGGCCCGGAGGTGCAGAGTGCTGAGTGCAGGGCAGGCCCGCAGGACCGAGGCCAGGGCCTGACTACAGCCATCCCCGAGGGGGTTCATGCTTAAGTCCAGCTCCTCCAAGTTCTGGGAAGACACAGGCCCCCCATAGGGTCTGCTGTCCTTCCCCGCTCCCCCACACCCCTCACCCCGAGCTGGGCACCAGTCAGCACCCCAGGTGTGCCTTCCCACCCATCTCTGGCCTGCTGCTCCCCATGCCTTTACCTGCAGGGTGGCTTTGCCCACCAAACCGGAGGCGAGCTGGCCAAGGCCTTCAGGGCCCAGGTGATTGGAAGAGAGGTCGAGGAGGGTCAGGCCAGGCCAAGTGTCCAGGGCAGCCAGCAGCTCAGTGACACAGCTGTCCCCCAACCGGTTCCCTGCCAGGCGCAGCTCCCGGAGTGCTGAGTGCAGCTTGAGGGCCCGAAGCAAGGGGGTGAGCTGGGCCTGGCGCAGGGCCAGGGAGCAGGCGCTGAACAGGGGGCCCACACCCTGGTGCTCCATGGCCTGCAGCACCTGCGGGTGCTCCCCTGCAAGGGGACATGGTGTCACCAGGGCCAGAGCCAGCCTGTCTGCCCCTTGAAACCTGCACAGCCCTCCTCACTCCCAAGCCCACCTGCTCCAAGCCGGTGGTGGGCTCCATGCAGGCTGGTGGTGTGCAGACCTGTATCTGCCCAGGAAGGCCCTCCCCACCTCTCAGCCTGGCGGCTCCCAGAGGTGCCAGACTTCTGGCCCGGCCCAACCTCTCAGCTCTGAGGTCTCTATAAGGTCCCACCTTCACCACACAGCTTCCCCCACATATTGCTCATAGTAGGGGCACTGGTAGGGGAGGGAAACCCCAGGACAGGTGTGGATACCGGGGGACCCGGCAGTGGCAATAACAGGTGGAGCCCACGTCCCAGCCCCTCTACCCAGGCCACTGTGGGCCTCTTGGGCCCTTACCCTGTTCCAGGCTCTGGCAGGCCCTGCGGTAACGGTCGGTCAGGGGGGGGAGGTCCCATGAGGTCACTTCAGCCAACACCTGAAAGCACCATAGGTAGGCAGCCCTGGGGAACCCAGCACCAGGGACGCCCACACTCGGGGCCTGGTTCCCACCACTCACCTCCTCATTGCTCTGCAGCACATCGGGGATGGGATCCTGCGGGGCCAGCAGGGCCCCCTCCTTTCGTAGTGTGAGCCTGGGCAGCAGCCCGCAGGCCTGGTAGTAGCGCTGGGCGGCCTGCTCGGCCAGCCAGGCCACAGAGTGGGCCTCCTTGCTGTGGGACCAGAGGCTGCGTTGAGCCTGGACCTGGCCACGTCCCTGCACAGCTGAGGAAATGCCCCTGGGCTCACCCTCAAGCTCTGGGGCGAAAGCTCCCTCGCCTGGCTCCTCCCCTCCCCACAAGCAGCCTCCAGCTCCCGGGCCCCTCCCAGGGGCCACAGGACCTCACTGGCCACTCCAGGGCCAGCCTATGCTTGAGAAGGGCCCCCCGCCCTTGCCTGCGGCCCCACCCCAGCTACCAGGCCCCCGGGCCAACAGGGTGACAGGCTCCACCTGGTGCACAAGCACCAGGGTTCTTGGCTGCCACAGGGCAGAGCCCACAGGGGCACAGAGGGAGCCGAGACGCCTCACCTGTGTGGAACGGGGATGAGGAAAAGGTTATCCTGAACGCGAACTCGAACCCGGATGGTAGGAGGCAGGACCGGCCCCTGGAAGGGGGCAGAGGGGTAGCCGAGTCAGAAAAAACAGCCCCGGCCCTGCCCCACCCCACCTGTGCCAGGCCTGCACACCCACCAAGGAAAGGCCGGCTGCGGGGGTGTCCCCGCTGCCGGGGACGGGAGGGCTCCGCAAGGGCTCCATGGCCGAGCTGCCGTCTGCGCCTGCTCGGACCGCGGCCCTCCAACTCCTGAGACAGGGCAGCTGGCTCTGCCTGGCCGGGGCCCGGGGCCTAACAGGACTCTCGTCACTGCTGGACTCGGAGGCACTGTGCCCGGTCCTGCACCCACGGCTCTGGGGGTGGGGTGGGCGGCGGCCCTGGGTCAGCAGCACGTCATCTTCCAGCCAGGCCCCGGACAGACACTCCTCCTCAGGGATCAGTGCTGCCGTGGGAGTGGGGGCCTCACCCAGGCCCCGAGGTGGACCAGGCTTGGGGCGGCAGCTCCGGGCACTGCCCACTCCTCGAATGGCTGCCCAGTAGGCTGCCCGGCCAGCTGCTGCCACCTTCCTGTTGTTGACATGGCCAAGCACGCAGGCCCCGGCTCGCTGTGCTGGAGCAGAGTGCCGAGGCCTCTTCTGGGGGGCCCCAGGTGGGCCCCCACTGTCCTCACCCTCCGAGCTGCTGCTGCTGGCCAGCTGGTGCCTGCTCCTCCGCGGCCTGGCCACAGCCGGCACTGCCTGTGCCTCCCAGACCCTGGCATTGGCCTGAGAGGCCTCTGGGAGCCCTGGGCAGGGGCTCGAGGAAGGAGAGGTCTCAGCGTCAAACAGATGGTCACTTGGGAGGCTCCGGGGAGCCAGGGGGCTGTGGGGAGCTGTGGGGAGATGGAGTCTGCAGTGAGGTGGGCCCTGCACATCCCTGCCACCCACATGGAAATGCCCGAGGCCCAGGAAACTCTCCAGGTGGGGGCGGTGCCTGGGGCAGGAGGTCCCCGCTTGCCTCGGCCCTCGGAGGCCTCCCTGAGCCTCCTCTCCATGGCGCCAGCCTTCTCTCGTGTCTCGCGGTCCAGGTCCCGGTGGTACAGCCTCAGCCACTGCTGCAGCGTCTCCAGCGGGCTGTGGCCCTGTGTGGCACCCAGCTGAGCAGGGTCGGAGGGACAGACCCACCTCCGTGGCCGTGCCCACCTGGCCCTTCTCCCCACTCACCTTCCTGGTTCGGAGGGTGACCGACGCCCCCCGTTCAATGAGCAGCTCAGCCACCTCAAAGTGGCCACAGTTGAGAGCATCGTGCAGGGGAGTGATGCCCTCGCAGCCCTGGCCGCCCGGGTCGTCCACGGCGGCCCCGTGGTCCAGCAGGAAGCGGACGATGTCTGTCGGACAGGGAACGTGAGCCAGCTTCCAGCACCCTGCTTGGACCCCTCCCTGTGTGTGACAGACCCCTGGCCCACGCTCACCCAGATGCCCGTAGTTGCAGGCCTCGTGCAAGGGTGTCCAACCACAGTAGTCCCGAGGGTTCAGGGGGTGACCCTATGACCAAGGATGGGAAGTAGCCTGACCCTGAGTGCCCCACAGCCTGGCCTTCCCTCAGGGCTGAGGCCAGAGGAGGGCCAGGGCCTGGGTCCCACCAGAGCGGGTCCCACGGTCCATCAGCAGCCTGGCCTGGCCGGTTCCCACCACGAGGCAGAGCGCCACCCCGAGCCTGCGCAGG